CTCCCCCATGGACTAAACCCAGATGATCACACCCTACAGAACCTGATGCCCCTGGTAACCCAAAAAGGGGGTGGATTTTGCGGTGCTTTACCGTCCGCCCATCGGCATCCATATTCGGCCTTATTCACGGCACCACCACCCCTTCTGTGGAGGATATTCTCATGCTCCTGGTAACCCTTTAAATAGTCTAATACTACCAGTGCTCATCACTGCACTTTACAAGCCAGAAATAATGTTTAAATGGTCGGGAAAAGTGTTTTTAAATGTCTGGAAGAGAGTTTTAGCCTGTCATTTTGCACGATATCATTTAACATTGAACCTCTCCTGGAAATGCACAGAATATGTGCATTTTCAGGAGAGGGTTAATGTTAAATTATATCATGAATAATGACAGGCTAAAACCCAGGAATAAGTGTTTGAAAGGCGGGGAAAAGTTGTTTAAAATAGTCTGATACCTCCAGGGCGCATCACCGCATTTTACAAGCCAGGGAAGGTGTCTGAATCCTGGGTAAACATTGTTTAAATAGTCTGATACCTGGCCCTGTATCTGCCCCTGGGAACCTTCAAGGTTATATTAATGTTTTATTATTTATTTAATTATCACATGATTTTTACAAAAACAGTATACACAGTATACATAATATACATAATAAAAACATGATTAGCGGGGGCCCGGGGACCATATTAGCCGTCTAACTTGTACGGTGCACCGGGGAAAACAGGTCGAGTCCACAACCCCTGCCCCCTCATCAGGAGTATCAACCGGCTCTGAAGAAGAGGTATCGCTGCTCTGAGCCTCTGAGTCCTCTTCGGAGGTATCTGACGGCGGTAGAACTCCTTCCGATGATGCTGCTGCAGCTGCTGCCGCACCGGACATGGAGAGGATTTTCAATCCCTCCTTTATTCCAGGCGTATTCGCGTAGAACCGGTCTGCAGTGCGTACGTCGTGACACATACACCTGGCGAGAATCGACCTGCTTTCTGGATCTTGGTGATGCTTGATATTGTCAGCCAGGGCAGTGCGCAGGATTGTGAAGGTGACGGCTGTTTCTAGCTCAGCATCAGCCCAAGCACTCTTCAAGTGAGCGTTCAGGTTCCTGGAGGCATGCTTCCCCGTTGTGAAAAGGAAGAATTCATTCTGAGGACCCGACAAGCCCTCTTTTTTCCCCATCCACCGCATGACCCAGCTAAACTCCTTTACTGGACAGTGACGGACTTTTTCAAGTCGTTCATTTTGGCTGTCACCTCTCTGATGATGTGAGTCATATCAGACTGGGTGAGCCTGCACCCCCGGAGCTTTGACTCAGACATGTACCTCAGGAAATGGTTCACATTCTTCAGGAACAACAGCGATGTTGTGACTGCCCGGCCCGACTTTGAAATATACTCGCTCCAGCCACGGACCCTCTCCGTGTCTTTTAGAAACAGCCAGTCTGACAGCCGGTTAACACCATGGGCCATGAATACGAGGAAGTTCTTTATCTGGCTGACCTTGGACAGACAATTTTCTTTCCGTTTTACTGTCGGTGCGACACCCTCACAATGATCCCTGTATGTCTGAATGTACGTCTCCATGCTTTTAGGCAACGTGATTTCACGCATGGTATTCCCCGTCCCTTCCCAGTGGACCAGTGATTTGAGGGAGAGGGCCAGTCCTTAGCCAGATTAGCTATCAGCTTATTGTAGACAGACGCACGGGTCTTCTGGCATACAGGGGTCTCACTACCGGAGGCTTCTGGGGACCGCATGACAGTCTTGACCGGGGTCTTGAGAGGGGAATTGCTGCCGGAGGCTTCTGGTGAATGCATGACAGTCTTGACTGGGGTCTTGAGAGGGGTCTCACTACCGGAGGCTTCTGGGGACCGTATGACAGTCTTGACCGAGGTCTTGAGAGGGGTCTCACTACCGGAGGCTTCTGCGGACCGCATGACAGTCTTGACCGTGGTCTTGAGAGGGGTCTCACTACCGGAGGCTTCTGGGGACCGCATGACAGTCTTGACCGGGGTCTTGAGAGGGGTCTCACTGCCAGAGGCTTCTGGTGAATGCATGACAGTCGTGACCGGGGTCTTGAGAGGGGTATTGCTGCCGGAGGCTACTGTGTTTATGCCGGAGTTACTTGAGATTGCTAAGCCCTTAAATCGTATGCATTCTTCCTCTTCCTCAAGCACAGCAGCAGTGGCACTCTTATGGGCATAAATATGTCTCATAATTATTTGTGTGAACATAAAAATAATTTGTGTGTAAATATGTGATGTGTAAATGTAAAACACCACAAATGCGTTTAAAAGATTTGCAAACTCACAAATAAATGTGCAAGTGTAAAATGGATCTGAAAATACGCTAAATATTTTCACAAATAAAAAAAAGATCTGTGAATATCTCTTTAACATTTACAACTTTCGATCAGGCATTTGTGAATCCATTTAGTATTTGTCGAACAAAAATGCGCTTGCGGATCTCAAATCTCTGCCCGTGGATCTCAAATCTCTGCCCGTGGATCGTCTTTTTACACACACGGAATTTTGAGACATATTTTCCGCCGGTCTAAAATCTACTCGTGTCACTCGGTTACTTTCGGAAACCACGTGATGGCCTGCTGATGACGAAATTTCCGCATGATTTCAAAGTAAGAGCATGATGGTTTGTTTAATACGCTGTTTTTTTATTATAATGACAGCGGAACGTTAGATGCATTCTTACTTCATCATCATCATCATCATCATCATCATCATCATCATCATGTTATAGTGATACAGTTAGTTTGTGTTAGTTTTTTGGTTCAATATAGCATATATCGAGCACTTTCGTTGATGTTGAAGTACAGGCTATACGCCACTTTCGGGTCCCGGGGGAGCAGCTGAAGTCAACCAGGGGATGAGGGTGGTCCTGGAGATGACAGAGGGGCTCCAGGGACACATCATTACCTGTGAAAAAATGTTCACGTCCTTCGCACTGGCTGAGGAGCTGCTCAGGAGAGAACTGGCCCTGGTTGGCACAATTCGCCGAAACAAGCCTGAGCTTCCCCCTAACTTGCTCCAGGCAAGAGCGAGAGCGATCCTCTGCTCCACCTTTGCCTTTACGAAGACCCACACACTGGTCTCTTACATCCCTCGACGGGGCAGGAATGTGCTGCTTCTAAGCACGAAACACCGCAGTCCAGACGTAAGCGACGAAATGAAGAGAAAGCCAGTCATAATCAAAGACTACAACCGATGCAAAGGAGGTGTCGACAACCTTGATAAGGTAGGCACACATGTATTCTTACTCTTATATTCTTGTCTGAAATATATGTAGGTTTTTTTCAAATGAGCATTTTCCAATAAAATGATTAATATTTGCATCATGAGAGAAAATGCTTGGAATCATTTATTCAAATTGTCTTGTTTTATGTTTTTGTTAGGTTGTTGCCACCTACTCCTGCAGGAGGAGAACAAATCGCTGGCCACTTGCCCTCTTCCACAACCTGGTTGACATTTCCCATTACAACGCCTACGTCCTGTCGACATCACATTCACCAATCTAGGGACAATAATAACAATAATCAAATATTCCTTGAAATGTATTTTTTGAAAATTATTCTAGTTTTTTGTTCTTTTCAATAAAAAGACTGTGGGTTTTTTCAACAAACTGGCATTTAAAGGGTTAAAATCCCCAACATATAATTCATATGTGTATGTCAGGCTGGAGTGGTTTTAAAAGATTGACTCTTTTAAAGTGGAAATAAATATTAATATATCATATTTTTATAGCTGTTTTTGTGAAGGTGGCATTTTATGTCCTTAGGAACAAATACGTTTTTTTTTTTACAGCTTTTCTACAACCAGGTGGAAGAGAGCTCTCCTGCGAGGCTCATAACCTCAGCTCAGTGAGGTTAAGGCACACCTTGATATGATCATTATAGTTATTAATGAGACATTAGAGACTAAATGAAAAACAGGTATAAAATACTATATGACATATGTAACAAAAAAGTTGTTAAAAATAACAAGAATAGAGTTTAAAAGGGGAGTGATTTGTAAAATCTGCTTACAGTTCTGTTTCAAATGGGTGTTGAGAGATGTTTCCATAGATCTCCTCATGTTGCTCTCAAAGTGCACCAGATTGATGCTTTTAACTTCAATATTTAAAAAACAATCTTCCCGGGGGGGCATGCCCCCGGACCCCCCTAGAGGAGGTTAGGACCCCCCCAACTTAAATCATGTTCACATGGGTAGGAAACTAAATACATTTGCACACACCGTGCCATGCATGCATGCGCGAGTCATGGTGAGATATCTGGATTCAGAGGTTGCTTTTTCTTTGCACAGCATGAAAGAAAGAAGAAATGAATGGGCTGTGATTTTAGTTTTTTTAAGCAGAGGTTGAGTTCAATAATTTGTACGGCCCTCGGATGATGTTGTAAAAATGTAAAGGAAAAAGGTTCCCCACCCCTGCTGTAAATAATAATAAAAACCCTTGATTTATAACTTAACATCTCTGTCTCCTCTTGATCTGAGTATATTATAAAGAACAGCAGTTAATTGAAGCATTATAGCACAGGCCTTTGTCAGACGGTATATTACGCTGTTTTTTCTGCTTCAAATTGTTCTCTCTTTTTTCACCATACCTGTGTTTGCATCCCTGCTATAAGTCATCTTTTTTTTTTGGACGGACACTAATCTACTTCTTTTTTTTTTTACCATGTTCAATCTGAATTTACTTTAAATGTCCTTTTATTCATGTTTTCATTTTTACGTACTAAATGAAGAACTGCAGACATAAATATTGACTGTTTCTTAAAGAAAGTTTAATAGCTTTTATTTGTAAAAAGTAAATCTGTGTTTTTAATATTTAGTAAACGATAACGTCTGAATAAAGGTAATCTGAAGTGATATTAGTTTGACATGATAAAGTTTATTTTCTGAAGGAGACAGATTTTTTTAGTTCTCATTCATTTCAATGTTGAGAAACACATCTGATTATAAACTCATCTTTATCCTCATCATGTTTTTTTTATTCAGACTGGAGAGCTGCAGGTTGTCAGAGATCAGCTGTTCTGCTCTGGCCTCAGCTCTGAAGTCCAACCCCTCCCATCTGAGAGAGCTGGACCTGAGTCTCAACTACAATCTGCAGGATTCAGGAGTGAAGCTGCTGAGAGATCTTCTGGAGAGTCCAGACTGCAGACTGGAGACTCTCAGGTCAGTTCACTGACTCTCTGTTCCTGCTGGAGATCTCATATGTTCAGTTTGTAATTTAACCTAATGTACATGTATGTACTTTAATAACTTGAATCCATAAAGAATCAGGGTCCCCTAGTAATCTGCGAGCTGTTCTCTGCCGTCATGACGTGCAGGGTGTTATTTTGTAACGTGCCTGAGCTGTGTGCTCCACTCTTCCTGTCGGCTCTGTCGGCTAAACTCCGCTGCTCCAGGATGACGGTCTAACTGCTGGTGAACTCGGAGCGCTGTTAGAACGGGACGCTCAGATACTCAGAGCAGAGCTCACTGTCAGAGAGCCTGATGTGCAGGGATTGTTAGGGAAGTTATTTTTCTTAAAAGTGACCTATCATGCTATGTTTGAACAATATATTGTAGGGCCATAAAGTATATAAATATAGTTTTTTTTTCAAAATACCAAAAAGATCCTGCATTTTAGCCATGCCTCATTTCGCTCTATTTGCTCTTTCCAGCGCTGTTTTTGCAGGGGGCTGATTCTGTGAGCTGCAGCTGACCACGCCCCCCTGCAGGAGAGGGGAGCGTGCTCTGAGATCAGCTGCTGGGCTGTCAGAAGAGGGGGAGAAAAAGAGATCTCCGTCCTCCATGTTTTATTCTTATATGATTATATAGAGTAATTATTCATTTGTTTTAAAGCTCAATAAATAACAAAGAAGACCTTTGAACGGCACTTTTCAAATTTTGTGCGGAAGATTTCAACTTTAACGGACATGTTGACCGGAAACTCTGCCGCACGGTCCCCTCGTCCCTTGGAAGAGGCGGAGAGGTGGGTGTTTGTCATCTGCTGGTGGACTACCGGAGAGAATTACAGCGAGGGAGGGATTGCATTGAATTACAGCAGCGGGAGCAAACGCTTGCCTCGGGGAGGGAGAAAAAGAGCCACAGCGGAGAATAAACAGAAGGGCAACCATGGAAACCATGGAAACCATGCACGGGAAGTCTTCTTCGCTGCTTTTGTGGCAGACTACAGCACCACTTACAGGCCTGGCATATGTACTACAGCGTCTCCAGCGCTTTCGAGCGGCAATGGCCGGCCGTGGCACAACCCCACATTCCCCTGATAGGTGGAGAGTTGCCCACTAAGCCCCTTCTGTGACGTAGGAAATAATTCAAATCTGGATCAGTCTGTATCAGATCCGTTGCAGCCCCGTTTTTAGAGATTTGGGTATGGAGGAAAAGAGAGAGGGTTGTGTTTTCTGACACTTGGGGAGTTCCCTGACAAAGTAAGGGAACGTTACTGTAACGCCGTTATTTTTGGCAGTAACTAGTACTCTAACGCATTACTTTTTAAATTCAGTAACTCAGTTACCGTTACTACATGGTGCGTTACTCCGTTAGTTTTTTTATATAGTCAACAGCCAGGCGAACAGAGATGAGAACTGTACTTAAGTACAGTACTTGAGTAAATGTACTTAGATACTTCCTGTGTCACATGCAGAGACGGGCTGTGGGCGTGTTTGTGTTGTTTACTAACAAGACTATCATGGCGGCGGCGGAGCTCAAGTCTAGTTTCTCCACCTGGAGATATTCTCACTATTTCACTTTTGTCGAGCACAAAGAAAAGAAAGTTTCTGTTAATGTAAGTTGTGTCTTAGCGGGTCAAAGATCCTATCTACTGCCCAAACCAGTCATTCAAATCTCTTAAAACATCTGCAAAAACAACATGCTGGGACGAAGCTAGTAGCTAAGACCACAGAGACTCAGCCGACGCCACTCCACCTCCACCTAAGCAACAGCGGCTGGATTTTAACCAAGGGACTGCTAGCCAGGGAAAAGTCGATAAAGCCATTGCACGGTGTTACGTTCCCTATTGGGCTTGGGGAACCAAAGGGAAGCGACACGACCAGAGTGGTATTGGTATTAATTATAAGTGGTTTTATTATAAAGCAAGGTGTAACAAAATGGCAGGCAGGCAGTCTGAAACAAACAAAAGGGCCAAAAGGGCACCGGTTGACAAATAACCGAACAAAAGGAGGACTCTAAAAAAGGAGTCTAATGGCATATGTGGGGAAAATAAATACTAGTACCCTAACTAAAGAACCAAACAAAACCTCACTTCAAGAGTGGTACAACTAACAAAGGGAGTCCACACAAAACACACAGCTAAGTAAAGGCAACAGTCACAAATCCTAATGATACTCTAAACACTAACTAACCTACTCTACACTCTACTAACACACAATATCACACGGAGATAAACACACAAGATTAACCACAGAATGAAGAGCAAAATGCGAGAGGCGTCTGTTCACTCAACAGAGCCTCCAGAGTGATGATTGTTCCCAGCTTTGTAGTCCTCTCCAGCAGGTGTGCGCTGGGCTTGCACAGGGATTGGAGAACGTCGGGCCCGGCGTGCTCCAATCAGTGTCCTCGGAAGTGGACCAGGAGATGACAGCCAATGATGTTGGGGCAACCACACAGCTCATTTGCATAATCACACACACAGCTGAAAACACTCAGGCAGATTAATGAGCAGACAACAGCAACCGTAACACACGGTATGTTGTAGAACACATGCAGGCTATTGCTACAGTGGAGTCACCCGCTTTCAGGGAGCTAGTTAGCATGATAGCATGTCCGGGCGGCACGCGGCATATGGGACGGAACACTTTTTCCAACTACCTGGAGAAAGAATATACAAAAATGGAAAGCCAGCTAATATCGATGCAATCCAGATTGCATATAATGCAAGTTGATCAACAGATTGTATTATTCTCCAATGCAATAACAGTACTGAAATGAAGGCTATAAGGGCATTAATGGGAGCCCTTTTTGTAAGTAACTAAAACGTTACTTTTCACAGTAACGCATTACTTTTTGGTGTAAGCAATCAGTAAAGTAACTGAGTTACTTTTGAAATGAAGTAACTAGTAATGGTAACTAGTTACTGGTTTTCAGTAACTAGCCCAACACTGCCGGGTACACATGTTCACGTATAAAAGACGTACAGAGGTGCATTTTGCATGATAGGTCACCTTTAACATTATTTTTATTAAGCCTTTAGCTGGCTAACTAGCCTACATTGTCACAAACCTCCTAACGTTAGCTTTAGCCTGCCGTTTTCCAATAGAATTTTTTAATGGGCATAATGTTACAGACCGTCACATGTCAATAGTCCTGTGTTTTAGATCCTGTGTTAAGGCTAAAAACAGAGGTGAGGAGTATTTCTAAGTAAAAGTACTCAGATCTTGTTCTTGAGTAAAAGTAGAAGTACTCAGATCTTGTACTTGAGTAAAAGTAGAAGTACTCAGATCTTATACTTGAGTAAAAGTAGAAGTACTCAGATCTTATACTTGAGTAAAAGTAGAAGTACTGAGATCTTGTACTTGAGTAAAAGTAGAAGTACTCAGATCTTGTACTTGAGTAAAAGTAGAAGTACTCAGATCTTGTTCTTGAGTAAAAGTAGAAGTACCAGAGTGTAGGAATACTCTGTTACAGTAAAAGTCCTGCATTCAAAATGTTCCTCAAGTGAAAGTAGAAAAGTATTCTCATCAAAATATAGTGAAAGACAGTAAAAGTAGTCGTTGTGCAGATTGGTCCATTTCAGAATAATATATATGATATGTTTTATAATGATTGATCATGAAAGTGTTCTCAAAGCTGGTGAAGGTGCAGCTAGTTTGAATGACTTTGTATACTGCAGGGTAGCTGGTGGATTTACTCCAGGTGGAACGTAAAGTCTGATTCAACACTTGATTAGATTTCACATCATTCATCTGTGAAGTAACTAAAGGTATTAAATACATGTAGTGGAGTAGAAGTACACCATGTACCTCTGAACTGTAGTGGAGTAAGAAGTTGAAGTATGAAGTAGCAGAACATGGGAAATACTCAAGTAAAGTAAAAGTACCTCTAAATAATTGTACTTAAGTTCAGTACTTGATTAAATATACTTATGGCGCATTTCCACTGCAGCGCGTAGCACGGTTTAAGCGTGTCGTGCCAAACCTGGCCCGTTTTTTGTTGCGTTTCCACTAGGCGTAGTTCCGGCTAGCCGGGTATTTCTTTTACAGTATTTCTGGCCCTCCAAAATCGAGGTTCTTTCCGGGCCAACAACCGGGCTGAGTATGCTAAACTAGTGACGTGAGTGGCTACAACTACAACACAATGAACATATTTTACCGTGATTTAAAGGTCCCATGTCATGGCCATTTCCACTGATCATAGTTCCATTGTTGAGGTCTACTAGAATATATTTATATTGTGCAATTTTCCAAACTCACATTGGTTTCTCAAACAGCATCTCTGTAAACTCTGTGTATTCACTGAATTTCACTCTCTGCCTTTAACGGCTCGTTGTAGCTCCAATAGCTCCAGCCCCCACCCTCCCTGTGAGCACAGTGTGCTCTGATTGGTCTGGACGTTGTGAATCGAGCTGAGCTCCGTGGAGGTGTTGTTTCCTTGTTTAGGCGATACAGCGCGAAACGCAGCCAAACTCACCCTGAGCACACAACAAGTCCACAGCGGAAGTAAAAACAATAAGTGTGGCTTGATATTGAGAAAGAAAAAGGTTGATAAACGCTGTGAGAATGGGTCTGCAGAGAGAACGGGTCTGCAGAGAGAAGGGGTCTGACAGAGAGAATGGGTCCGGCAGAGAAGAACGGGGTCCGCAGAGAGAACGGGTCTGAAGAGAGAATGGGTCTGCAGAGAGAATGGGGTTCTGCAGAGAGAACGGGTCCGCAGAGAGAACGGGTCTGCAGTGAGAATGGGTCTGCAGAGAGAAGGGTCTGCAGAGAGAAACGGGGTCTGCAGAGAGAATGGGTCCGTAGAGAGAACGGGTCTGCAGAGAGAACGGGTCTGCAGAGAGAACGGGTCTGCAGAGAGAATGGGTCCGCAGAGAGAACGGGTCTGCAGAGAGAATGGGTCTGTAGAGAGATTGGGTCTGCAGAGAGAATGGGTCTGTAGAGAGAACGGGTCTGCAGAGAGAATGGGTCCGCAGAGAGAACGGGTCTGTAGAGAGATTG